AACTCTGGGCCTGGGCGCTGTCCCTCAGCTCTTCAGCTCAAGGCTAGCGCTCTACCACTTGAGCCACAGTGCCACTTCCCATTTTTTTCTTTTTGCTTATGTGGTGCTGAGGAATCGAACCCAGGGCCTCAGGCATGCAAGGCAAGTGCTCTACCACTGAGCCACCTTCCCAGCCTTCCTATGATATTCTTATAATCTTTTAGGTCATACAAGTTTTATTTCTCAGAAAACATGATTGTTAACTAGGTTTCTGTTGATGTTTCCAATACACACCACTGACTGGAACATCAAAGTCTACTTTCTGGGTGTAACCTACCTCTTTGCTTTTGAAGATCAAAGAATCTCATGGTATTTCTGTCTTTCAATATCTAAAGTTATACTGATCATTGAAATGATGATTATTTATTACAATCAACACCAAAAAATGATTCCTTACTTTGTTTTACCTCACACAGTCTGTTAAACAGACTTGCTTGGAATTTCTGTGATGCTGTGATTCATACTACATGTTATTCACTTATTGTTAAAGATAATACAATGTGTATCAAAGAGACTATATCTTAAAATGTCTTTGTTATCACTATAAATTGGCTTTCCTACCACCAAGTCGATTTTCGTGTTCCTTATGCAAGTCTTTTCCCCTGAAACCCTCCAGATCACTGGGTCCTCCAATCCATTGACCAACTTCATCTTTCATGTCTTCACTTCCTCCATTGCTCTCCTTCTTGTGTATGCCTTGAACCCACCCTTCCCCCTCCATAAGTGCCTCACATCCGGTTCTTCCCTACCTGAGACTCTCATCCCCTTCTTCCTGTGTAAACCCCACCTCCCTTCCTCTCTCTCCCCAGCCAGTATCTCAGATCTCACTTCCTTTACTCAGATGGATGACGTGATGCTTGATCCAACATCTTCTTTGTCATCTCCACCTTCATTCACATTATACCCAGCTCTGACCACTTTGCCCACCTTATATGCTACAAAGATCAAGAGAGGAAGGAAAGTCACAAAGGTAATCTTGGCATCAAGGGCTGATTTTCTTTTTTTCCCCCAAAGAAATCTGACAGTTTCAGAAAAGGACAAGACACTAAAGGTTACGAAACTTATTTCAAGCCACTCAATGGAAGCCATCCAACTGGGAAATTGTTCATGGACTCCACAACCAGAGTATGATATCACCCTCAGAGTATGCTGGGAAAGCTGCCAGGTGTGAGGTGTGGCTACAAATCTCCCAATGATGGCGCCCAGGTCTGGAATATCCATGGGCTTCTGGAAAGGGCAAGAGGGTGGCATTAGCCCAGGGGAGAAATTCCTGTGCCTAATGCTTCTCTAGAGCTTACCTTCCTACCAACTGGCAAGGGAGACAGATTTCTCTCTTGCATACAAACAATGAAAGATGGATTCTGAGCTGAGAAGCCACAGGTTAGTAACAACCAGGGTCTTGGTACGAATACATACTATTTTCCAGGAAGAACACTACAGGAATGGATATAATATAGAGGCAAGGAAATGACTGGAAAAGAACAATAGACGAAGCCAACAAACGAGAAAGCTGACACGTGACAAGGGTATTGGGCGAAACAGAAAAATTTCAAGCTGTTATGATTTGAATTTCGCCACTAGAACTCACACTGAAATGTTATTCCCTGTGTGAAGTAGTAGGAGGTGGGACCCTGGGATGACGCAGTCAGTCTTGAGTGAATGGGTTGTTGCAGCACATATACTCTTCAGGCTGAATCAAAGGACATGCGCAACTGTGGCTTTTATTAGCATCTTCCCAATCTCCCAGTGAATGGAGAATCTTGCACACTATATTTAAATATATTTATTCCTTCATATATTGATTCCTCCCTCCAGAGCAACTTCTCCCTCCACTGTTTGTAAATATTAATAACACAAAATTTTCTTTTAAAAATAAAAATAAAAAATAGAACCCTTTCTCTCTGTCATACCCATGTATTCTTTAGCAGTTGAAACATGAAGGTTAATTGACCCAATAAAGTAGATAATCCAGATCTGCAGGAGTAAATACTTCTGTGGATTCAATGTAAGTTATCTTAATTTAAATAGAGAAAACATTTTTAAGTAAGGTGACTGGGAAATTGCAATGAGCCAATGTTGTCGGCAGGTGGCGGAAGAACACCGCATCGTGCGCTTGCTTCCTCTGGAGCAGTGACTCTTGATTTGATGGCCACGTCAAAGTAACCTCTTCTCTCCACCTGTTCCCCACATCGCTACCTGGTGGCCAAATGTGTAGCAGCTTCGGGGAGCGATGAGGCCATTCAAGACACTGCTAAAAACGTTTTTTGCTTATGGTGACCTCTTATTTTGATGGACCCAATACCTAAGTCATCAGACCTTTTACAAGAAGGCTGCTTGGAGGATTTTTCGTGCACTCCAATTCATGCAGAACAAAAATGGATTTTGTTTTTCTTTTGCTTTTCTTTCTTCTTTCTTTCTCTTTTAAATTCTCCTGTCTCACCCAAGCATCCTTCACCTAACAGTCACAGGACTTGATCTCAGGTCCATTCTTGTTCTCCTATGAAGTGCATTTCCTCTAGGATAATCCCTCGGGGACCTGGTGGCTTCATTCTGTCATAGTTCTTATCATTCCAGGTCCCAGGCTCTGGCTGAGAGGGAGCCCCAGGACCTGTGGCCTTGGGGGTATGGCAGTGTGCAGGGCAGGCTGGACACTCATAGGCCCCTGTTAGAGAGTCTCCCACTGCGAAATCCTCAGATACCAACTGCATCAGACCCACAGATTCTCCAGTTGATATTTGTCTTCTCAGAAAATGGTCTCAAATGTTAAGAAGGAAGGAGGATTTTCCGAACTTGCCTAAACAATGGCATTTGGATTTTGCCTTGTCACACCAAGCCTCATTCCTTCTTGTCCTTTCGAAATGATTCTTTCCACCCTTGTCTTTTATAACTGTGTGTCCTTGGGCCAAGGAGGATTGAGAAAGGAAAACCATGACTAGGGCTCAGCTCTCTATGGACTTTACTTGCAACATACAAAAGCTGGACTTCCTGAATTCTAGCTACCAACTTGTAGTAAATGGTGAGTCTTCATGTACTGCTCGGCTTCAAGCCTGTGGGCAGATGGAAACTGAGGAGTTTTGTTTTTCCATTGACCTGGTTCAAACAAGATGTTCAGATTGAACTGCTCTGTGTGCCCATAAATATCACAGCATTGAAGAGCTCAGTACTGGTGGTAACAGTGATCTGCTACTCAAAACAATAGCTGTGCCCAATAACCCAGCTACAGGAACAAAGGGAAGTGGATTTATTTTTGTTTTGTTTCTTTTCGAGGTATGGACCTACACAATTGGGGCCTGTAAAGATCTTGTATCCATGAATGCAGCTGTTATGGAGCTAGTTGTGTCCGTGGTTCTAATTGACTCTGGTAACTAGGTGCTATTCAGCAGTAAAAACTTCATTTATTCCTTTTGCATGAAAAATAAAAATAAAAGAAACCTAGAACCACAGTTAACTTCCCTGTACAAAATAGGTCAAATTTTTACAAGGCCAGGCAATGAAACAATGTTTCCATAGGCCTCAGGCTAGTGTTTCCCTGGGAAAAAAAATTAAATTAAAACATCAGTGCCCTCCAACACTAAGAACAAACATCCAAGTACCCGCTGGGTACACAGATGCTGTTAAGGATTAAGTTCAAGTGGACATTTGAGCCCCAGTGAGCAGGACATTTGTGACTGTTGCAGTGATGAGTCTCTACTGTCCTGAGCCCTCCAGCACAGGTCCCACACGCCCTGGTGTATCCCTACAGAAGACTAAAAATGGCACATGTATAATAATTACTATTATAATATTTATAATATTATATATTATATATAATATAATATATGATATATTATATTATATATAATATATAATAATTATTATTATTATAATAATTACTATTATTGCATTATCCTTATATACATTGTACATCATGTTTAAGAAGCCAGACTCGCTTCAGTATCATGACCCAGAAAATGGCCTCTGAACCATACTGAACTTGAACCTCAACTGAAATTTGTTCTCTTCTCAAAAGGATAAAACCCAATACTTCACCTTTATATCTCCATAGATAGTAAGTTGGGGCAGCGGAGAAAAAAGGCAACAGGGAGAAAAAAAATGTTCAGAGTAAAGACAAAGTATCATGCTGAGAAGAAATTGGGGGAAAATCAAAGGAAACACCCTTCCCAGGATAAAGATTCATCTTGGACTAGAAACTTTTGCAGGGTTCATTATGGAAAACAAAAGCTTCATAGACATATAATTGCAAAATATTTCACTTCCAGTGCTAGAGCAAGATGAACACTTAGTTGAGCACCCTGTAGAACATGAATGGATTGGGAATACAAGGCAGGAGGAACTGCAGATCAGAACAGAACAGCATCTATTCTCAGCCAGCATGGGATCAGATTGGACTGAATAAGTCCTACTAAAAGTCATGGTGCCATTTGTGGTTTATCAGATACACAGATCAATACTTAAATTGAGCAAGGCACTGGTGGCTCACACCTGTAATCCTAGCTACTCAGGAGGCTGAGATCTGAGGATTCCAGTTCAAAGCCAACCTGGGCAGGAAAGTCCATGAGACTCTTATCTCCACCAGAAAATGGGAAGTGGCGCTGTGGCTCAAGTAGAACGCTTACCTTGAGTTGAAGAGCTGAGGAACAGTGCCCAAGCCCAGAGTTCAAGCCCCATGACTGACCAAAAAAAAATTGATTCCACTTACAATTGTTTGTGTGTGTGTGTGTGTGTGTGTGTGTGTGTGTGTGTGTGTGTGTGTGCATGTGCATACTCGTGTGTGTGCATGTATGTATACTGGGGCTTGAACTCAGAGCTTGGGGTGCTATCCTCAGCCTTTTCACTCAAGACTGATGCTCCAGCACTTGAGCTACACCTGCTTTTCAATGGTTACTTGGAGATGAGTCTCACCTGGACGGGCTTTGAACTGTGATCCTCAATTCTCAGCCTCCTGAGTAGGTAGGATTACCACAACCACCAGCACCTGGCTTTCACTACAATTTAAAATTTTTCTCATGGTGGGAAAGTGTACCTATCTTCTATTTTCTACTTCTATTGTTGCCTTCCAAGATTGAGCTGTCATTTTTTGTAAAATTAGGTTGGTAGATAAGTTTGCTTAACATAAAGGTATGTTAGGCTAAACCAAGCTATGACATTGGTAAGTTAAATATAATAAATGCATTTTCAAAGATAGATCTTCAGCTTCCAACTGGTTTCTTGGGCTGTAATTCCATCTTAAGTCATGAGCCATCTCTATAACATTTAAAGATTCTCCTTCCAGAGAGTGGAATCAGTCATTACCAACTCCTGCACTTGTTGTACAGGCTCAGGCCTTGAACCTGTGGGCAGAAGGAAATGTGATGACACCTTTAAAGAACCTGCCTCACCACGGAGCCAAGACTCAGAGTCTCAACAGAGATAAACCAGAAATGAATGGCAAAATCTTTCCCTTCTAGAATGTTCTGTGCCTGTTAACCCAGTATGCCTTTGGTAGGCTTGATCGAGCTTCTGTGGAACTTCTTCTGGCGAGACACAACCATCCTCAACACCGGCCTCTTGTATCTCTCCCACCTACACCTGTCTGTCCTTGTCAAAACCCATCCCACTGCACACCTGGGCACCCACTCCAGGGCCAGTCATTTCCGGCGAGCTGATCTGAACGCCTCTGTAATGTCTGGAGGTCAGCTCATGTATTCTGTGGTCACTGGATCCTCCCACTGTGACATGATCAACTAATACATTTCAGTAATAACAGCTCACACAGAGTGTGACCTAATATATATCAGGCACTCTGCCAAACAGCCAACATACATTGCTACTTTTAAGATAGGAAGGTTATTATCCCTATTTTAGCCGTGAGGGAACTCAAGTCTCACAAAGTAGTTATTTAGTTTGTCCAAGACCACATTCTCCCCTTGGATCCAGGAATTTACACTGAACTACTCTCTATATACAAAGCAGGTTTCCCCTGAGCCCTCTTTCCTGTGCCTGATCAGAGGTCTTAGGCACATGGTTCAGGTGATCTGTCTGTAGGACCTTTGCAAGCATTGGAGGCAGGTTTAGGAGATGCTTCCTGTGTTCAGAGAACCTGGCTTTGCCATTGGGTGGGGGCAGAAAGACCTGGGATGCCAGAGAATGAACCTGCAGTACTCCAACCTTGGTTTTCAAGAATGTAGGGCAGATGATAATTCTCAGACGCTACAACTAATAAATGATACAACGATTCTCTCCAACCCTGCTCCCCCACTCTATGTCTGCTGCCTTGGCTTCACCGAGGACACTTCCTGCCCCTCATCACTGGGCTTAAGGATCCATGCAGATATTTTATTTTCACAGCTGCAGCAAAATCAGCCTGGATGTTTCACATTCTTTGGGTCTTCAAAGATGGGTCATGTCAACAATGCTGCCTCTTCAGACATTGCAGAGCATTAAAGGGCCTTACTTAGAGGCTTCTCCTGAAATATGACAGATTAAAGCAATCCAAAATAGCATCTTCCAAATGCAGACATTTGGCAAGAATAAAACAACATGCTAAATGATCATGATTAAGGACCTCAGTTCATCCAGAACTTTCTAATGGCTTTTATTTTTTTAAGTGAAGCTATTAATAAGTTTTATCTCATTGACACACCCTAACCCTTCCTTACGAAATGGATATTTGTTCATTGTGACAGCTGTTCAGACCACTGAGTGTCCAACCCCTGGAATGCAAATAAAATGGAGAAAGGGACAACAATATATGCTTCATGAAGTTATCAGGACAAAGAAGTAAAATAACTCTCATGCAGTGCCTAGCCCAGCACCTAAAACAAAGGAGAAGCTTGAGTAGGATTGGTTCTTTGCCCTCCAAAAGATCAGCAATCCAAACCCAAAGAAATTAAGTATTTTATTGTAAAAGATCACATAGCTGAGATCTAAGTCTCAAAGTGATACAAAACAAAACATTACCACTCTACTATCCTGCTTTGTTTACTAATTTGTTGGCTTAATAAGTGAGCATTTAAATTATGTCTCCCTCACCCCAGACTACACTATGTCAAGATAAATTCAGTTGATTAGAGCACAGAGCTACAAAGATCAAGGACACAGTTACATTCTGCACTGGCAGCCCTGCCACCAGGAAAAGGGCTAAATAGAAAAGCTGTAGATGAATCCACTCGTAACCATCACTATAAATCTTAGTCCTACTGTTAGTAGCCCTAGTTAGGGTGACCCTATTTCCTCCAATGGCTGCTCAGGACAGCGCTGGCTTATTCAGGTCTCCCCCATGTCATGATTAACATCGTCTTCCGGCTCTCAAATCTCTTGTGTCAGGCAATGACATTTATTGTCGTATCCATAGTGGCATCATTTGTAGCAAGCAAAGGGCAATGTGTTCTCATCTGTTGCCTCCTTGGGCCTCTGCCACAGCCATACCCCCTTATTCCTGATTGCTTTAATTCCTGATTTACTTCAGTCTTTTCTCCTTGGAAATCTCCCTAATTCTCGCTGTTTTCAAATTTACAGCTGTGATATGGTATTTGAAGAAGTAGGACCTAAAGTTTCATAACTGGGGTCATTGGTCTGGCTCTACTCCACTCCCCCCCCCTACAACTGACTGGCAAATTTCACCAACTCTACCTAATCCATTTTGTTCTCATTGGTAGAGTAGAATAGGTTGGACCTCATAGGCAAATATTAG